AAAAAAAAAAAAAAAAAAAAAAAAAAAAAAAAAAAAAAAAAAAAAAAAAAAAAAAAAAAAAAAAAAAAAAAAAAAGGTTCTGTGTATCGTATGGCATGGCAAGTATTGTATAGTATAGTATAACCTGCGTTTTATGCCAACTGTTTTTTCGTACCCTGTAGAAGAGAAAAAGGCACCGGAAACGAAAATCCTAAGAAAAAAAAGGGGAGAAAAAGAAAGAGAAAGAAATCGTCAGTCACTCTTATCAACCTACCTACCTAGGTACCTACCTACCTACCAAGGTTAGGTTCTCCCCTGCCCGCAAGCACACATCAAAGCCGGGTCCCAGGTGATCACTGGTCAGTGAGGGTGGGGGGAACACAAAGAACAGCGCACTTACAGTTTTTACATTGTCAATGTCAATGTCAATGTCACCGTTCCATGTCCACGCCATCCGCCATTTGAACCCGCTACTTGACGCACTCGATTTCAAGAGGGTACAGAATAAAAGTAAAAAAGTGAAAAAAAAAACAAAGGAGGATAAACGAGACCGACAGGATAGGTGGAAGGGTCCAAAAAACGGAATTTTCCCATGTGGGAATCATGCTTTGACCGAGACAGGGGTCGAACCTGCGACCTTCTGATGTCGAGTGTTTCGGCGGAAGTATGGAGATCCGCTGAATCGTAGTCAGACGCTCTGCCATTGAGCCACACGGCCTGATTGTTGCAGGACAAGGCCATGTTTGTGTTTATGATTCTAGAGCAGCAGGTGTCGTCACCCGGGCAAGCGTTGTGGTCTCCCACATACGATATACGACCTTTCTCATCGTAGCCATGACAATTTACACATGTTCAAGCCGCCACGTACAAACCATCGTCACCGCTCACTGTCTTGGTTGTCACTCAACCGACAAGGTACCTACCCAACCATGCAGTGTTGTCAAGGGTACATGAAAAATAGCCACCTCTCCTCTCTGTGCCATACCGGTGCCGCCTTCTATAGACATCGACTCATTCCTACGACACGCGATATTTCTTTCCTTCTTTCCAAATTATAGACAAAACACCACGCCGACCCGATTTCTTCCCCTCATGCCTCCCTCCGAGGTGCAATGTCCCGCCTTGGCCACTGCATCAGTCATTGTTGCCAGCCCTATTGCCAGCACTGCCGTTGACGTTGCCGTGATTCGCCCCCCCAAACTGTTGCCCGCCGAAGAAAAAGGTGTCGAAAGGGTTCATGTGCTGACCCTCCATATACTCATCATGCAGGCCGTCCCAGTCCATGCCAAATGTGGCATCCACGTTTCCCTGGTCAGCACTGCCGAGTTCGCCGTTGGATGGCGCTCCAAGATTGGGCAAAAACTCCACGGTTTGGGCGTCGGGGTAGTCTTTGGAATCTTGAAGACTGAATTGCTGACCTGTAAAGGACGCGTTCGAAAGGCCATGCGGTGCGCTGCGATGCCCCATCCGAGGTTCTGGGACGAGTAGAGGGTCGATCGTCGAGGACGCACCGTCCCGACTCATCCTGTCGCTGGGACTGAGGCCGCTCCGGCCTGGCCCCTGACCAGTCATGAATACGTCGGCATCAGATGCCCTTTCTCGGGCCACGGGCGACGTCTGTCCAGACATCGCATCTCCCGCCACTGAGACGCCAAGCGTCGATGGTTCATCCGACGATAAGGAGGGATCGAACCGGAACAGTGTCTGCTCCGATCGTCGATGCCGATGCCGGACAGTGGCTTTCATTGACAATGAGCCATCCGGAACTCTCGTACACGACATGGTTCCTCTTCTCTGTCGCCGTGGCTGCTGACACTGCGCACCAAAACCACCGCGTGAGCTGGCCATTTTCATCGTCGCCTTGGCTGTTCGGTCAAAAGCGTCTCGGCATGTCTCGGCCGGTGGGCACTTTTCAATCATGTCCGAAAATACTGACTTTGCCGCCAGGACCGTAAAATCCACTTCGTCCATGGTCTGTTGGGAGATTTTCTGTCAGATATGAAAGAGTACGACATGATTCATTTCCCCAACGCGCCCTTTTTCCCTTTCCCTTTTTCGTAACGGAGGCGTCGGGTCATCTTACCAGGAGACTTGTCACCCGGGATGAATGCCAGATTGCATACAGATACGAGATGCCGGCCATGAAGAGATGATGAGTTGATAGGTAAGTATAGCTCACAAGTCCGCTGAGATGAAGTTGTCGGTAGATTCGCAGGATCCTCTGGCCAGCTTCGGCCACCTTCAGATATACATCATCTTCATCTTCTCCAAGTTCTGCCGTAAAGGCTGATGGGCTGTTGTTCACTTCATCCGAGGGGTCGTACTCGCCCTCGAATATGGCCGGCACACTGAGACTCTGTCTGTACAGGAGAATGATTGCTTGCCAATAATTGAGCTCCAAGAATTCGGTAGAGAATGCCACACCCGTCTCTTCCCTCGTTGGTGCCGATGTCTTCCACTGCAGGAGTCGCCCCTCGATATCCATTCGCCACGAGCGAAAGGAGTCAAACTGAACCAGAAACGGGGACGGAAAGTGTGGGCGCATCTCGGGGTACATCTTGCAAGGTGTCCCGTTGCTTGCACGCGCAAGCTGTGCCTGATTGTACTGAAGGACCTGCAATATCTCCGACTGCAGAAGCCGCAGACGGAAGTAATGATGCGCAACATGCTTGTAGCTTGGGCAATCTTGGCCATCTGGCGGCTCTTCGAATCCGTTCCGAGTGATGAATTCATCGTCCAAGAGAGAGGGTAGCTCAGTCGTGATGATTTCATCGTGAACGCCAAACGGTCTCCCTACACACGTGCTGACCAGTCTATCGAACGAATAGGTGCACCACCAAAGACGTCGTCGCAAGTCACGAATCCATAGTCTTCGACCGCGATCTTGAGTACTGCCTTCCCGTACCTCGCCAGCTGCCGCTGCAGCGGCCTCGGAATCCGCGCCCGCTTCACTAGGAAGTGTTTCGACATCGCCTCCATCTTCATGATGGAGCCCTAGATCTACAGCCAATCGGACAGCCACTCCAGTGATGTACCTGCAAGAAATTCTGTCAGTCCCACAGAAAAAGGGGGGAAGACCATGATGCGTGGCAAAGTAGACGAAGCAGGAGCCTACCATAGCCCGGGCGGGACAGGCCGCAAAAGCGCAAAGTTGGCGAGCAGTAGGACGGCCTGTAGCACTTCCAGATAGCCACCGCTCGTGCCAAGACACTCTTCCAAGTGAACGATGGCGCTGGCATGGTATTCCTCGGGTTGACACGCGGATTTTGGATGGTTCAATGACGCTTTAGGGTTTTCCGAAACCCGGGGCTTGACCGGCTCTTCAAGTATAACCCCAGACCCTATGGCGAACACCATGTTGATCATGTACAGCTCCTGGGCCGTGAGCCCCTTGCCCGCGTTTTCGTACGCCTTGTCGAACGTCTGCATGAACTCGACCCGATGGAGGACTGGGATCTGCGGATTAGCGTGCTCAAAATAGAGCGTGACAAGACGCATTCCCTCCTCTCTCTTGGGAAATGCCGCTGGCTGAATGGTGGGTCTCGTATGAAGGCCAAAAAAAGAATCTCTCATCGAGGCGCCGGCACTGGGCTTGCGGCTTGCGGCACGTTCGGTAGCATCCGGTTTCTCAGACAGAGAATACTGCACCGCCGCAAAGACAACTCTGGCAAAAGAAACACCGGATGCAGAGGCCAATGATCTAGTCTTTGGAGGACTGATGATGTTGGCCAGAGCCGGGCTTTGAGGGGCTCTTTTCACCCCCTTGAGCGCCTCCAAGGCTTGCCGCTGCTTCGCATTGGCGCTATCTGCTCTTGACTGGGTTCGTGTTGCTTCGACCGACGGGCGAGAACAGAGCTCGAGGTTTTCGGCTGGCGGCAGGGGGATGTTGTTGCTCGTCAGTAGCTGTTCGAGCTGCTCTACTCGGGTTTCGAGGTAGAAGACGTAGCTATGGCGTTGAGACGTTTAGCACATTGTCGATTCATGTTGGCATGGAGAGCAAGTGCATTCGCAGCTTCCGCAAGCATGCGCACCTTCGTGGAATCTCCTTTTTTGTGATGGGGTCATAGCCAACACAAGCGACGCCAGCTTTGGCGCAACTGGCGCAACTGGGAAGCTTCTGGTCACAGCGATTTTTGCGCAATCTGCAGCGATTGCAAGCGCTCACGTTGCGGAAATTGCTGCTCTGGCCAGCTTTGCCGGTAGCGTGGGCGCCAGTCGCTTGGACAGCATCGCCGCCAAGCTGGAGAGCAGGGCTCTGCTGGCTGTGAGGCGCTGATGCCTCTCCGTTGGACGCCTGCCGCTGTCTCTTGGTCCCAAGATGGTGGTGGTTGGGAGGCGAAGGACCATGCGATGGCATTTCTACTGCACATGCACCGTGTGTGCCGATCTCAGGCTTCTCCTGTGAAGTTGTGAGGGAGGGTCCAAAGCGCGAGACTGAAGCAAGCTACTGGTACGATTAGAGGGCGACTCGAGCGTTGAAGTGCCAAGGACCAGGAATACGAAGAAAACAAAAAAAGGGTCAAGACTGAGTCGTGGCGGCTGATGATGCCGACAGCGCGGCAGTTGCAGGCGTAATGGCGTCGCATTCATGCGGGTTTGCAGCTGCAAGGCAGACAGACATGCCGATTCCGATTTTGGTGCCCAGTCCAAGGCCCAGTCCCATAACAAGTCATGGCCCTTGGTCGTGGCCCTTAACTCGTGGTTGCAACCTGCAGTAGCAGTGAGCTCTGAGCTCTGAGCCGTCCAGACACAGACAAAGCAAAGGGCCGACAATGAGAAGGGGATGATGGACCGGCGTTGGCGGAAAGAGGAGAATCATAAGCTCTTGGCTGAATGATTCATTTCTTAGCGTGCGGCTTCGGCTGCGGCTGCCACTCGGCTTTCTTCCTTCCTTCCTTCTTCCCCGGGCTGATCCACAATCTACTAGGTATATACCTACTACTACTGTAAATGTCTCGAATCACTGCGCAGTTCAAGACTGGCCGTCACTGTTCGTGTGCACCTCTGATGCAGAGTGACCCCCTCTCTTCTGTTGACAGATAGATTACGCCGATCCGCATGGCCCTCTTTCAAGCCCTAGGGTTATGCGCGCCAAGAGCTGATGATTGCTGGCGGGAGGAATGAATGCTACAGCATCATGGAGGCACTTCTCGCCGAACCAAGCTACGGAACGTGAATGTTTCCCAAAAAAAAAAAAAAAAAACAATAATTGCTATTTAGATGGTAACGAACGATCTTCAGCACGAGAAAGAACACAAGAAAATCGTGATCCAAAAAAAGGAGAAGGAAGGAAAATTGCCCCATTTGGCTCCTTGTTCGCCTTTACTTCAAGCCTTTCGTATGCAGTTTTCTCATGTCTGTCGCTCAGACCTCGCACTCGCGCGCTAACCGATCTCAATGCATGTAACCTGCCCGTCTAACCAAGATTTCCAAATCTGTGCCGCTGGGGCAAAAAGAAACCCTCAAAGGAGACGTGAAGAGCCATCCAGTGAGTATGCTAAGCGACCCAGGGCAGAGAATGGGGAGGGGATAATCCTGAAAATAAATTAAGGCAGAAAAAAAAAAAAAAAAGAACGCCATATTCTCCGTGCCCTATGGAGGGATGTTTTGCCACTTTCCTTTTCTAGGGTTTACCGTGTGCAGTGTGTGCAGTGTGCAGGAAAAGAAAAGCAGAACAAGATTTGCAGTCTGTATTGTCCATCAGGTATGCATGCCAGG